CAACAGCTCGACAATGTCAACGTGAACTTGGGACCAACTTTACGCACATCATGGAGTGAATATTTAAGGTCGTGAGTACTACATAACAACAATGATAAAAAACCTTATTATGAAATACCTGTATTAAAATTCTACCAAAATGCCACTCGAACGTCTAAATAAAATAAGATCTGCCTTTGGCTAAAGATTATATAACTATATTTGCTAATTTTATAATCAATTACTTATGACTATTTGCTTTATACTTTACTTTTATATACTTTATTTTACTTACTAAATATAAACGAAAATGAAGAGTTAGAGAATGACTAGGATAATTATGCGTAGGTTAAAATTTGTTAGTTTGTAAAAGAGATTTAATGGAATTGAATTAAATTTAATGGATTTAAACTGAATTTATATAAATGGAATTATGATTGAAGATATTTTGAAAAATAAGGAATTGTGAATAAATAGATTTAATGGTTTGTCGAGTACTTATGTTGAACACTTTCTTAAATATGTGGTAGAGTTATTTTGAACTTGGCCAAGGGACAATGTAAATATTTTAAGTAGCATTGTCATGGTAGGGAGGGTAAAGACTTAGGGAATTATTAACATCCAAAATCCCCAATACTTATCAGAATTTATTTATTATCTTCACACGTGTCGGCTTGTATCAGTAGTACCAATATAAAGCCATTTCTTTTATTAATCGATAGTCCAGTTTTGAATATTGTTTTTGAGTAAGACGCACTTTTTAAATGTAGTAGCGTTTTATACTATCCCAAGCTAAAAGAACACCGACCTCTTTATTAGTAATTACCACCCACTATTAAAAGACCAGCTAGTTAAAATCTGTCGAACTATGTACACTACACTATACGCGCTATAAAACTCAGAAACGCTAGGTAAAGGGTGGCAGACAGAATCTCCAAAAGGAAATGCCGAGAAGGTGTAGGAGATTTTCGAAATAGTACGTAGAAACCTGGAGAAAGTTTCCCAGGACAAGGAAAGGCATTACAATCTGTGGAGAAGGCAAGAAAGCCAAGGATAAGTGACTTGGTTTGGGCCAAAGAGCACCATTTATCGCGGTACACATCAGCGGTGGAGGATTGCGATAACGGGGATGCGGATCTGATGGGAGGAAACAGGGGGAATATGCAGTAGAAAACCAACAGTACCCGTGAATGGACGTAGCCAGTCTACTGTTTCGTAGCCACGGACGTAGGGGGACAAACGGGAATTCTGTTTCTTCCAAAAAGACATCGGAATCCCTGAGAAACTAAAAGAGAGGAACGACGTCGAAGAAGAATGGTTTAAGGAGGCCTATATAAGCATATAAGAGGACAGTCATGGAGAACGAGAATGCGAAGCAACGGAATTAGCAAGGAAACTACAGCCGTGAAAGTCAACAAGAAGCAAGTTCGAAACGATGCAAGTCTCTGAATGAAGACACAGGCAGCTAAGGTTCATTAGGACAAAGCACGGATAGGTTGAGACTCCTTGCTACACCGCGAATCGAGACCAGGTACTGGCGTTGGCCCGGAGTTTCCGCCAGCGTTTGAGTAGGCAGGCCCAATCCTGGCAAAGAGTGGTGAGGACCCGGTATACTGTGTCGGAAATTACGTATGTAAACCAGGCGGTTGCCTGGAGCATTCGTAAGAACCAAGCACAGCCTTTAGCTACCGTGACTCCGCATACAACAACAATCCCCAGCCCCAGCCAGAGCAGACCCTTTCGGGTCCGTCCGTCCTTTCACTAGGCGTTTTTTTTCACTTCAGGGTCTGCGGAGTATTGCACGGAGCGTTTGTAGGAACTGGACAGGCGTCTGGCGGGAGCGGCCGTGACAGAGAGCCTTGAAAGCCCAGCACCTGTTCACCCTAGTCTGGGCGACAACCGATCAGCACACTCTCTAACCTATCAGTTTAAAGGAAAATAACTCCTTACTCTGAATATGTTTCATGCGTATTTTATTTTTCCTATTATTCTGTATCATTTTGGCTCATTCTAAGTATAACTGTGAGCTTTGGAAGTGTACCGTTATATTGCTTTGCTTTTTTCTTTGAAGTGCGACAAAAATGCATGCATGTTTTTTGCGACAGCCGATTAGCACAGTTTCGATTTTTTCATGTAAGCAATAAAAGAAAGTTATAATGGGCAAAGGAAAAGCGTTGGACGAGTCTGAAAAAGGCAAAAGAAAGGCTTAAAGGGAGTGCGGGCACTCTATTCTTCAAATATCAAAAAATATTAGGCGCAGCCGTAAAGTTATTACCGCATATTTAAGCAATGAGGGTACATATGGGAAAAACATGAAAGATCGGCCATCATCAGTAGTAACACCAGCTGACAAGCGAATCATACTACGACCCGCAGCTAATTCCCACGACTCCGCCGCCAAAATAAAGGAAAAAACTGATGTTAAAGCGTGCGTTCGGACTGTGCAAAGAGTTATTTCGAATGCTGAACATATAAAGCATCTAAAATTAAAAAAAAAAAAACCACCTGTAAACCAACTTAGAAAGATGCAGCGACTCAATTTCTGTCGATCAAATATGACCTGGACCAAGGAGCGTGTAGTCTTTTCAGGTGAAAAAAGTTTAATTTGAAGGATCCTGACGGCTATGCCTCTCAAATAGTAGTACAAGTAGCTTTCAGAAAGGAAGAGCATACTTTAGATCGATTGCACAGCCGTGCGGGTGGTCTCATGGTGTGGGGAGCTATAACATACTTTGACACTATAGTACTGCAGTTTCTTACCAGCCGTATCAATGTCATTGCGTACAAAGGTGTACTGAATACGGATTTCCCTGCAATCAAGGATATTTTTGGACCCTTGAAATGCAGTTCCAGCAGGACAACGCACCTATCCACACAGCCAGGATTGTAAAGTCCTGGATTGATGGTTAAAGCGTGGAATTTCTGACATGGCCGCCATACTCTCCCTACCTAAACATTATAGAAAATGTTTGGGGACGGCTGGCACGAAAGATCCGGCAGGCTGTATTCAACTGAAGCAGAACTCATTGAAGGAATAAAAAGGTCCTGGGAGGCTGTTTCACTCAATTATATAAAAAAATTATTTGACTCCTTACCTCAGCGGATGTACGAAGTCATACTTAACCGTAGAAGCTCAACACGTTATTAATTTGTTTTCAAAATAGGTTAAAAATGTTTAAACTAATATTAAAAAATAATTAAAATGAAGTTTGAACCCATTTTCTTTTGTCGCAAAAATAATAGTGAACTTTGTATGTTATGTTTGTTTACATTAATTTAAAATGTTATTAATAAAGTTAGTATCCTATCTTCTATTAATTTTCGTGGGAAATTATATATTCTTTTAAGGGAACAAAAATTTATTTGAAAAGCTTTTTTAGTTTTCCTTATATTAAGTTTCTAGAACGAGCAGCATAGGGTGTGCAGTGTATTTCGTTTCAATGCATTTAATAAAAATAAGTTCGTTACAACCTTAAGAACAAATGTATAAGTCACAGCAAATTTAACTAAAACTAGCTTTAACAAGTTAAAAACTATCTAAAATACAGCAAAAAACAATAAATTTATAAAAAGTGCAACGAAAAATTAAACACCATAACAGCAGTCAAGCATGTACATTAAAAAAAACCTACATTGTACTATACTATATAAGAAAAAAAAGCTTAAACAGAAATAAAAGTTAACGAGCGGCTGGGGTCGATCTTTTCAATGTATTTTGTTATCCCTAGTTTTATTGGAATGCGAAAATCGTAACCGCTTATTTAAATGTTAATAAACCAAGGTTTTTTCAGAATATGTAGGAACATTAATACAAACCATATAAGTAAACAATTAAAATAAAAAGCATGTACAGAAAAAATTACCTTAACTGGGAATATATAATTTACGAAATTAAATCTTAAAAGAAAGTAACTCACTAAGATCTTACAATTTTATACCTATTGTTTTACCTTTTTCTTATGGAGTAAAACGGTATACTAGTATGTAACAGGCAGAACGAAACGTTTCGGACCATATAATGTATATATATTCTTAATCAGAATCAATAACCGTGTCATCTGGCCGTCATCTGGCCGTGTCCGTCTGTCTGTCAGTAACAAAAAAACCTACAAGGTCTGTTGAGATTAAGCAGGCTGTAGTATACACATATATAAAAATAATACAAATTATAAAATTACACATATACAACATAATAATAAGACAATTAATAAGTAAACTTAAGTCCACCCTGGAATCTTAAGTCCACCAAAGCTTAATATGCAAATTCAGCATGTACGCCTTTAGGGGTTGCGCTTTACTCCCATTGGTTATCGAGAAGTACGTTCATACATACATATTGCTGTTTTTGCTAGTCTCAGCACTTTGCTGTCACGAGCGATCGACATGCAGGCCGCGGTAAGCTTCAGTACATTAAGCGAAGAAAAGAGAGAAACTTTTGACCGTGAGCACAAATAAAGACAAAATTAGAGTCAGTGATCACCATACACCGATAAAAAATAAAATGAATAAGGGGACAAGTCTACATGGTGAACATGGAGAAGTTCACAAGGCAGCGATATATTTTTTTTATATATTTTGGAAATTTCTATAGATTTGACAAACAACATTTTTGCCACGTCCAATATTACGCCCACAAACAGTTACGCCCGCACTTTTGAAAAATGTTTTGAATTGTTTTAATTTTTTTTGTTCGTTTTGTAAATTTTTAACAATTTCATAAAAAACTTTATGAACCGCCCAAAACGGGCACGCCCTTTCTTATACAACATTTTTAATTTATTTCTCATTTTATTTTTTTTTCCCAATTTCTACCGATATCTCAGATAATAGTGAAATTTCTCGTTTGCAATTCCACTAGCTGAGTAAAGGGTATCTGATAGTCCGAGGAACTCGACTGTAGCATACTCCCTTGTTCTCATTATGAATTGTAATCTATAATATTACAATAATTTTTAACAAAAACTTCATACTAAAGATATGTGCTCAATTTATGGAGAACCGTAAAGAAACGGCATCCGGAATCAGTTGCTTTTAACCTTACCTTGGTAGTTCTCAATGCGTTCATGAAGGGTTTCCATTTCTTGAGCCATTTCATCCCTCTCTTTTTCTGCTTTGGATTTAAGAATGTAAGCTTCATCTAATTTTACATTTAGTTTGTTCATATCTAAGTTTAAGGAACTTATCATATTCGCCTTTAACATCATATCATGCTTTAAATCCGCCATGGTGTTATTTAATTTAATAATATCACTTCTAAGGCTATCACGTTCACGTTGCAATGTCTCTTTGATACGACGAATATCATCCGTTCGTCCATTTGCATTCAAGACATCCTTCTCCAGAGAATTAATGTTGTTTCTAGGAAACGAAATATTTGTATTTATGAATAGTCATAATATTTAAAGTAATATACTTAAGCCTTAATATTTCACTATTTAATATCATCACTTTTCTATTTAGTTTATACATTCTTGTTGTTGCATTATTTTGATCTTCAATCGATTTTTTAAGCCTGCTGGTTAATTGGGAAACGGCATTTGATTTTTCTTTTTCAATCAATCTTAACTGCTTTATCATTTCCTCATTATTTTTTTGATTTTTAGTTAGGTCGGCAATGTCATCTTCATTTTTGTGCATTGCCTTATTTAATGCGTTAACTTCACTTCTATATTTATCTAAATGGACCCTTTGTCTGTCATAGTCCGAAATTTTTTGACTGAGTTTACGAGTTGTCTCTGATAATTCTCTATTCGCAATATCTAGTTTCATCATAGTTTTTCCATGCGCCTCCTTTTGTTCTTCCATTGTCTTCATCAAGGCTCTTAGTTTAGATTCTACGTTTAGGCGTTCGCCCTCTGCAAATTTAGCTCGAGAAGCCATTTTGCTCATAGCATCTTCATTGTTTCTAATTATATATTCCAAGTTTTCCGAATAATATCGATTTGTGGTTAATCGTTTTTCTAAGTCCACAACTTCTCCAGCTAACCGATCCCGTTCCCTTAGTATTATATTCTTATACTTGGCCAGATGGCCAAATCTTAAAAAAATATATATTGCATAGTTTCAATTAGTACTTTCTAAGTGCACTCAAATAAAATAAAAAATAAAATGATGTAATAAATAAATTATGTAAGAATCATGTAAGGACAACAATACGCCACCCTTAGGGTTATAATTAATAGGAACATATTTCTTATTTTTAGATATAAACATCCGGAAACCCCAAATTTCCAATAAATCTGACCTAAAGTAGCTTTGGTAGAGGAATGGGCTAAAATAACCCCATAACTCTCCCAAAAATTAGTGGATTCGAGCCGAAAAGGCTTATAATGGTTGTTAACAAGGGAGGTCACACAAAACTAAAAAAAAATTGTTGTATTTTTAAGCATAGGAAAAAATTCCAATTTTACAAAATGGTTGAAATAAGCTTTTGCATTGATTTGAGGTACATTTTCATTATTAATTCTTAAAAAAATACTACAAAAATTATTAAAAATAAAATAAGTTGGTAAATAATATCTTAAAACATACAAGAAATATGTTGCGTTTAAATTTTTTTGATACAATTTTTAGTTCTGCTTTTACAGAAGTTGAAGTTGAAATAAGCTGTGAGCCACTGTATATGTATGCTCTGTTTTATTCGGAGATGGACACTGAAAGCTTGCATTTTGAAAGCTTAGCTTCAAAACATTAGCCTAATTATGTTTTATATAAAAATATATAAAAATATAAAACATAAGTTTATAAAGTAGTTTAGCTGAAAAGAAAGAAGGGTGAAAAGAGATAGAAGCGCTGCATTTACTGTGGAACACCTGTGCGTGCATGACTAGGCGCTGGCGATCTGCTCCGAGCATACTGCCTCCGTTGGAAGAGGTACGATTCCAACTACATCCGAATCGATGGGCAGCAGGGCTAGTTTGGCGACGGCTTTTCTGTATTAGATCCGTAGCTAGCTGTACGAAGAATAGCTACTCTGATGACGCCGTCCCCGCCGGATATGACTTCCTGGATGCGACCGAGCTGCCTTCTCAACGGTGGAATGTTGTCCTTCTTCAGCAAAACTTGGTTTCCAACCTTCTAAGATGTATCGACTCATCAAATTCTCCTTCGATTGCAAAGATGGAATCACCGACAACTCTGTAGAAGTAAAATTTAGCCGACTTAACAGCAGGCTCGGCAAGCTCGCTCTTTGCACCGACAAAGTTTACCTCGGAGGCTGATGAATCTTCTCAGTGCTGCGATTAAAGCATACGTCGTGAGATCCTGGACAACTTCCAAATGAGGTGCCTTAGTGGAAAAGCAAACGAAGACGGCGATATAGCACTTATGGGGAGCCTTGTTTCTGGTCTATGCCTTATGATAGAATAATAATCCGCTAATTCATACTAATGAAGTGCTGGATTAGGCTGCACTCGATTTGCTGGCAGGCTTCCCATTACGTGCTCCGAAGTCACAGGCTTCATACTAAAACATCGAACGCATTTATTGATGACACTATCAACGAACTTGCGGCCTTCATTCAGCCAGAACCTTTGTCCTAATGTAGCAAGATACGCCTACGGTCCAGCATGGAAATATTTCTCATGATAATAAGCTAAGATTGCCTTGGTGACTGGATGGTCCTTTGGTAAAAGTATCGGATGCCTCGTATCGTAGTCCAAGTTTGCGTTCTGAAGCCTTCCACCCATCGGAACCGAGTAAACCCCTAAGCGAAATTAGCTTCCTTTTCTGTGAAAACAGCTTGCCCTGGCTAAGAAATCCACTCTTTCTTAGATGCTCCTTAGAAGAAGTACAGTTCCCGAATTAATCTCGTCCACTGAAAGACGTCCTTTCAATGGCATAGATTTGGCTCTGCAATAGAAATAAAATAATGAATGTATGCAAATATGCGCTGCAACTTATTGAAAGAAGAGGAATTTGAAGTTCGATTAATTATCAATGCAAACGGATTAGAACTGAAGAGCGGCGCTCTGGCAAATCCTTTACTGTATCTAACAGGGACGGCCAATTCGACGAGCATTCCGAAATGGAAGGAGGCCCGTTAGTCCAAAGGGAATACTCAATTCCCTCGGGGTACATCCTCGCGACATGACGTCTGTCGGGTTAAAGTTCGTCGGAACGTGATGCCATGTCATGTCTTTCATCATCTCCTGAATTTTATCGATTCTGTTTGATACGAATAAGTTTAACTCCCTCGGAGGTTGCCGAATGCACGCCAACGCAATAGACGAGTCTAACCAGCAATGAAAGGCGGAATTGAAATCTATGGATTCCTTGACGCTTACGATTAATAATCCATAAGGTAATATGCTAGCATCGCAGAATACATGAATTTGGATATTGTTGACAATGCAATTCACTTGGTGGGTCGATGATTGGACGGTGTTTTAAAAAATTAAAAAGAAGTTGATTTGAAGCTGGATCCCAATGCTTTTGCGATATCCGATCCATCGTGAAATTTGATCAAGGTGCAATTAATCAGATGGATCGGATCGCAATCACACTATCCTTCCAGGGCTGCTGATTCATTGGAACACCATTTATTGATTGGAAAGTTACCTCACCTTCACCTGACGACGAATTTCTATCACCTCCTCAACTGAGCCCCCTCCTCTGGAATTCATTCCTTCTTATAATAGGAGAGCTGATGCATGGCTCTTATAGCGAAGAAGGCAGCTGGCTTGGTTCCGTAAGTCATAGCGTTCAATTTAAAGATACTGCAAAAAGTCATCCGGGTACAAATTGCAAAATTTAAAATACAAATACAAAATACAAATTTAAAAATCGAAAGCGAAACAGAATATTACGAATTTTTGGCCCTGTAAGAAGTAAGTTGTTTAGAGAGCTACCTGAAGTCGTTTTAGCAGATGCATCTAGTTTAGCTTCCAAACTCCTAAAACGACGACGAGACAGGCAATAAAGACCAGAGTATTGACCATTCCCAAGTCGAGTGCAATTATTGTTGCAACCAGATGATATCAAACCAAGTTTGGTGTTTGAAGAGTTGACAACGTCTGTCCAAATGAATTCGTCCCAGATAAATTATTTTGAAAAAACAGTTGTGCAACAATTATAAGGGTGATTCCTTGTGATTGATTTAAATAAGGATCAGCTAAAGAAATGTTTTGTGGTATCATGAATGATTTTATTGAAATGGGGTTGATACTCCGTGATACTGTGAGTCACAACAGCTGCGAATGAAGCACAATAGCTTGCCTCCCGTGATTACCCAACAATATCGACTGCCTTATCAGAAATCATGGAAGATTCTCCGATCCCAGAAATCGAGGTTATGAATCGGGTATGAATCGAGGTTAGCTAATCGAGAAGTTATAAAGTTTAGCTGAGAGACTGAATCTAAAATTGCTCGGCAAGACATAAGTGCTCCAATTCTATTTCTTACTTAGATAATATTTGAAGTTTTTGGTGGAGAGCTTGCTAACTGATGATCAGGTTGTGAAGAAAAATAAAAACATGATGCTAATGTTGATGAAGTAGATTGCAATGGCTGAGAGCTGAGGTTTGGGACACATGACGGAGTTGAAAATGAGGTGGGTCATGATTCATATGCAATAATGAGTGATGCTTCATGTGAATATATCTGCAGTGATTCTACATCTCAGATTCAGACTCAAATTTAAAAATCGAAAGCCCCTTAACTTATAAGCTAAATTATATTATAATCCCTTGCATAGCAAAATAAACATAACGGTTTATTTGATTTAATAGCAGAAGAAATAAGTGCGGTTTGTTATATTTGTTCAAGTTTTTTCCCACCTGCTGGCCTGGTGTTTGATTAATCAAGAGATGCAACGAAACTTTGTTGTTGCTATTGTTCTTGCCGGCAAATTGCCTGCCTAGCAACAGGTTGTTTCTATATGTACATATACTCGTATATGTATATATATACTATATATATACAACTTCGCGGTTTGTTGGTTTATAAAAAAAATATTTTTATTAATCAAAAACTTAAGCGAAAGTCGGAAACAAATTCACGTCTTACACAATTGAAGTATGAATAAAATCTAAATGAGCTTATTTACTTCTTCATATTGAGCGTACATAGGCTCTCATTTATGTTTACGTTAATTAGGCGCTCTCTTGAGTGGATTGCGCATGGATACAGATCAGCCGAGTTTGAGCTACGTGGAAAGTTTTGGCCCTTTAAGCTGTGTAAGCAGTTTTCACCCTTCTAGTGGGAATAACGAATAAGACTGCGGATGTTTGTGTTAAATTGTTTACATCGGCAAAATTTGTTATTGTCACCAAGAATTTGGGTTTTTTTGTGCTAAGGCATTCTTGGTTCTATGTTCTATTGTTGCTAGGTAAGAGAATATATAAAGTGGCTGGTATATGTTTTAGATATATGTTATGTGGTTGAGCATAGTATATAACACTTAGTACCATAGTATAACACTTTGTCACACACACACCACACACACACCACACACACACAGTACATATGTACCACTTGATCACACCCACCCAATCCATTTGCCCAGGAACACACTTAAACTTACAAACCCCAACACAAAAGTCAGATCCCAAGCTTGTGGCGACAATAACAATTTCGGCCGCGTTAACATAAACAATTAATTCATAGACATAAACATCCGCCGATGCCGAAATTCGTTATTTCCACTAAGCAACCAAATAGCTTACGCAGCACAAATCCTGGTAATTTTCTATGCGCAACTCTCTTAAAGAGCGCAACCCATTTGAATAAAGAGGAGAGCCTTCAAGTTCATATAAACAAAGTCGACCAAGGGTTTGCTAAGCGTTCAACTCACACTCTAGATTTTGTTCTAATTCATCCACTATACCATTAAGACGTGAATTGACTTCGATTCAAAGTTGTATTATTATCTTGAAATAAAAACATATATTTTTTTCAAAACTTGCAACCGTGAAATATGTATATTGGCATTCAAAATGAATTAACAAAGAAACATTAAAAAAAATATATTTATTTATTTGTACTTAAATTTAAAAATTTTTGTATTCTAATGGTTTAATTCGTTTTTATTTGTGGGA